TGGGCTCTTTCCACAGTTTGGCTATTGTGGACATTGCTGCTATAAACATTGGGGTGCACGTACCCCTTCGGGTCCCTACATTTGTATCTTTGGGGTAAATACCCAGTAGTGCAATTGCTGGATCGTATGGTAGCTCTATTTTCAGCTGTTTGAGGAACCTCCATACTGTTTTCCAGAGTGGCTGCACTAGCTAGAATGCAGTGTTTTTAATACTGTGCTGAGTTCTTGGCTTTTTTTTTTTTTTTTAAGAGGAAACTTCTTGGCTGCTTTAGATGCTTATGCTGTTGCTTGGTCAGAGGGTTAATCTGGAGATACAGAGCCTTAGTCACTGTCCCCTTTCTCCACAGTCCCCTGCAGATTTTCTTGGTAAAGAGCATTTTGTTATGGATAATGCATCCTGGTTATGTCAGACATCTGCGGTAACATTTATCGGGCAACAAGGTTAATTGCTTTTCAGCAAACAAAAACAGGTTGTGTTTCCAGAGAAACACAATAAGGAATAAGGAGGGAATTCTGTTTTCTCTTGTATCCGTTTTGTCACAACTGTCTGGAGCGTTCAGATCAGGTTTGTGGGGTTTCGGGGGATTAATTTATAAGGTTTCATATACACACAGCCTTAGGATGGACCTGATACCAATGACGGTCAGTAGACATTCTGTTCTCCCTAGAGGAACACGTGTGATGGAGAATGGTGGTTTTCAAACTGTAGGGTATACTGAGTCACCTGTCGGTGCAGGGGTTGTGGAAATGCAGGTCGGGGGATTCACCTCTAGAATTTTGTGCCCCACGCAGGTCTGGGGTGGGGCCTGAGAAGTGGCATTTCTCAGACATTCCCAGTGGATGTTTGATACCACTGGTCCAGGAACCCCACACTGGGAACCACCAGATAAGACCACATCCCAAGACATGTAGCAGTCATGGCCAGCCGTGGACATGGGACACAGAGGAAGACGGGCACAGGGTCTCTGTTTCCCTGCAAATCCTCCTTGAGGACCAGCCAGTGTTCTCTATTCTGACTCTCGTCTGGATCCGAGGTGACTCAGCCCTGGCTGGAAGGTTAGTCAGGAAAGATTGGGTGGTTGTAATTCGTGGCAGATTCTTCTGCCCCGGCAATGAAATGACATGTGACAGGTATCACCAGCTCAGGGAGGCTCCTGGTGAGTTTGGAAAAAGGCTGGAGCCGGTTCTAGGAAAATGACTGGGACATATGAAAACACAGAGGAGCTCTATGTTCCCAGGGCTGTTCTATAATCCACTTAGTCTGAATTAATACCCCTGGTGGATCACACTGCGATCCCTGGAAGGTGCCAGGAAGTCAATGCTGAAATGTGGGTAGCACTTAGAATGTCACCACTCCTGTCAGAGGTAAAAGGAGCAAAATGGGACTGAATAGGATTTATGAAAATCAGGATGAACATTCACTCTGCAAGAACTCCCAGTTGCTACATCCCTCCCAATGTCCCTCCTGTTTTTTACTATTTGACCTCAGTAGTGGGTTGAATTGTGTCCCCAAAATGATATGGCCAAGTCCTAACTCCTGGAACTTGGGAAGGGGACCTTATTTGGAAATACGTCTTTGCAGATGTGATGAAGTGAAGGATCTGAGATGAGCTCATCCTGGATCAGGGTGGACCCCAATCCACTGACAGGTGTCCTTGTAAGACACAGAAGAGGAGACACAGACATAGAGGAGAAGCCACGTGAGAACAGAGGCAGCAATGGGAGGGACATGGCCACAAGCCCGACACCTGGAGCCCCAGAAGCTGGAAGAGGCAGGAAGGACCCTCCCCTGGAGCCTCTGGAGGGAGCCTGGCCCGGCCCCGCCTGGATCTCAGCTGCCCTGCCCCGCCTGGGTCTCAGGAGCCTCCTGGATCTCAAACTCCCCTCTCCAGAGCTGGGGGAGGATGAGTTCCTGTGGTTTTAAGCCCCCTGGTTTGTTGTGATTTGTTATGGCAGACATAAGAAACGAATACAGTCTTAATTAAAGACATGAACAACTGTTCAGGCTGAGGCTCACAATTCTTTTGTCCTACAGTTTAACCAACTTTCTCTGGATCTTTCCTTCCTGAACCATGAGCACCATCCTCTGCACTTCAGTCAATGCCACCTTCATCTTTCCAGCTTCTTGGAACAAAAGCCTCAGGGTCCCTTCACTGTCCTGCATTTCTGCCATGCTCCACTCGATTGGAAAATTCAAAATATATCCCAGATCCTATCGGCTTCTCATCATCTCCATTGTCTGTCCAATGTTTATTTTTTGGATTCTGATGCCTTGACAGCTAGGGTCGTGCTGACCCTGGAGGGATGGTCCCTCCCAGGACTAGCCAATTCCTAGAGAGAGCAAATGACTCTCCTTTTAAATGCAAGCCAAGCAATCCAGAGCCTACATCCCAATTCTGATCCCTACGGGGCTGCCATTCTCTGAGCTACTGTGCACCAGCCTCCAGCTCCCCAGGGCAGGTGCCAGACAGCTAGGGAATGCCCTGTGCCCCAGAGCTGATGAGATTGGCCAATCCTAAGCCTGCTCACCCTGCCTTCCCTGTTCCCTCCCACGGAAACCACAAGAAAGGCTCTTCTCCACAGTCCCCACTCTCCCTCTGCGTCCTGACCAAACTTGGTGCTTCTCCACGCGGCTCTCATGGCGTGGCATGTCCCCTCCTTTTGGGAGCTGTGAGCCACAATCTTTTCAGTGACACCTGTGTCCTGACCTGGTGGCCTCACCATAATGGGAAAGTAACAAATCCTGTATCTTAAGACAACCTCACTGCAAGCCGCCATCTTTCCTGTGATTGCCATGGCGTCTTATAGAAAGGGGGCACAGATGGGAGGAATCCCTGCAACCATAACAAACTGAGGCTGTTCCTCGGTGGTTTCTCAGCCCTGACTTCAGTTTCCAACAGCCACCCATATTGTTGGAGGACTGTCATTATGTAGAAGTATACCAGCGTAATTTAAAAAATCAAAGTGCTTTTGATCATGCCTACTGACTTCATAGCACTCCTGTATTCTGTATTAATATGGTTACTTAAGTATTTCCTGCAGTATTTTAACAGAAGGTCCAGTCATTAGGGTCATATTTCAAACCACGAATATTGGAATTGATATCCCCTGAAGTGAACACCTCGTTGCTTTTCCTATGTTAAACCATGACAACAAACTTGTAATCACCTGCTTCAAACCTGCATATACATCCTCACATACAAGCAGCCTTGTTCAAATGCTTGGGCTTTTATTTCTAGGTAACGTGATTTAATTATCTTCAATTCTGTGAGTGTATAAGGAGCAAACCAAGCAATGAAATAAAGTGGTTGCTTATACAAAAAAAAAATCTAGTTTCAATTAAAAAAATACACATATATATATTTTTACAAACCAAAACACAGAGCTGACTTTGCCAGGTTGTTCATTGATTTCTAGACAAGGAAGATATCCCGCTTTAAGAAAATTCAAAATTGAGCTTGAGACACCTGAGCATTGGGTCTTGGCACACGTGAGCCTTACAAGTAGGTGTTAAATTGGGGATGATGACACCAGATTGTGTAGAGATAAAAATGTAAGTGTCACGTGGAACTGGGCAGCGTTACTTATATGCCAATGTGTGTAATGAAGGTTTGAGGAGTATTAAAACATGGTTTTAGGGTCCTCTGTTGGAGATGCTACACCTGAGTTGTGGCAAGAAGAGCCTGCAGCCATTCTAAAGTAATAGAACCGTTCTGTGTGATGCAGGTCACAGGATGACCAAGACACAATCTCTGAATGGTGTGCATTTTACCTTGGCGTGCCCAGCTTTGTCTCCAATAACCACTGATTAGTGAGTGCTCAGCCCCTCTGTTTCCAGGAGATGCGAGACCTCCCGTTCCCTGGCTGTTACAGGAGCTCAGAACTCTCAGGAAGCAGGTGCACCAGGTGGACAATAGCCCATGTAATTTGCACAACAGGATGCGGGGTAGCCCTGCAGTTGGTCACATGAGACCCGTGCCCTCTGCGTGGACATTACATCTTGTGGAGGGCTCCAGGTTAAGGCCAACAACACAGTAGGACCCTCCCACACACAGTATTCCACTCTATGGATGCAGCTCATGTTCCTCATCTGTCCCCTCGTAGATGGACACCCGCGTGTGATTTGGAAGCTCGAACCTCTGGGCACAGAGGTCTAGTTAGAGCTCCAACTCTTGTCATGCACACCAAATCGATGGTGGTGTGAGCGGGGATGGCTCTTTGCAGACTCCAGGGCCAGACGATTAGTGCTGAGGAGAGAATTCCAACACTCTAGAGGAACACCATGTTGCCACCGGGTCAAAGCTCTGATCTGTGTCTTCTGTCATTGTGCCATAAGCCAACCACCCCAACATCCCAGATTCACCTTCACCAGGCTGTACGCACTCTGACACTGCACTGGCTGACCCGGGGCTCGTTCTATTTCTAGCTCCTGCACAGGAGGGTGACTGGCATCTGGCGGTCCCCATCTGGCGGGTCCCTATCTGCCTTTGGGCACAGCTTGGCCCTTCTCCTGAGCCCCCAAGCATAAAAACAGTCACCGGATGAACTCACCAGGTGACAGACACATGAGCTATGTGTTCCTCCTGGAATCTTAGAGATGCCTGGGCTGGCCCAAGACACAGCAGTTGGCTTCTGGCAGAAACCGGCTCCTAGTCATTCACAGCTTACGTAACTCCCAAGCTCATGGCACTGATAGTGGGCACGACCAAAGTAAGCCCCAGCCCCGTGATGCAACCCACTCCTCACATTGCCAATGGAGCCACACGGCTCTGTTCTTCTCACTTGTCCCTTGGAAGGCATATTTGGCCTCTCCCGCCATCTTGTAATTCAAAAAATTCAGTGATTCCCGGGAAAGCATGCACTGGGGATATAAAAACAACATAAGGAGGCTCTTGAAAACGAGGGTCCCAGCACGCCAAATGGTGGCAACCTTCAGAAGACGCCAATGTTCACTCTTGAACCATATATTTGAAAAGATGATCCAGCCCATGACAGAGACAATGCCCCAAATGGCATCCCACTCCACAGCTCAGAAAGCAAAGATAGACCCGAAACCCACTCTGTTCAACCGTTTTTCAAACTGACTCCCGGCTCCCTGAAGCATTGTCATTCTGCAATGTCAATGGGATAGTCTGTCACCTGGCTCTGTTGCCCCCATCGTTGGGACTGTGGGCTTTCAATGTTCCTGGGTCAGGTGGAATCAGCTGACCTGTCCCCGTATGTTGATGCCCTTCACGGATTGCCCCCTCAGCCCTTCTTCCCTACTCAGCCCTCCTTCCCTCCCTGGACAGATGCTTCTGTTCTTAGGGTCTTGCCTATTGTATTCCAATACCCAACGCTCCGTCCCGGATGTGGGTGTCCCTCTTGAGCTGGAGAAGAGCATTCCTCGCCATCAAACTGTTGAAGCAAGAATCATGGAATTCATCCTGGGTACCATCTACTCCACCCTCATGTTCCCACAGCAGGGCCTACAGAGACCCTCTTCTCTCTCTGGGCCACCAATGCCTTGGCTCAGATCTGGTCCTCGTTGGCCGCCACCTTTATACTGACCTTCTTAAATCTTCTCCCTACTTCTGCCTTGATCTCTAGGATAAGCTGATAATGACTCTCAAACTTATAGCCAAAGCCCAGGCTGGGACCCCTTTTTGTGCAAATCAGTGTATCTCGCACCCACCTGGTTTTCCCACCTGTGGCTTCCCTTCGTGCCGGCTGTCTTGATGCTGCTGTGAAGCCTCATCTCCTGATACCTCAAGCACCGACTACCACCTCTGCAACCCTCCTCTGGGTTCACCTCACAATAAATCCATCACAACTCCCAGGACCCCACACCGCTCACTCCCTTTGGTAGGGATGTAATGCCCCAAGGAGTCTTCCTGCATCAAATGGAGTTCTACTTTCTAGAGACGAGCAGTCCACCCATGTTGCAGTATCATGTGCAAAATGGCGGTATATGTCCCCAACTAGACCGTAAGCTCCCCACCAGCTCCCATTGCTGGTGGATTTCATGGTTCTACCCACCCAAGGATTGCTCCTCCATTCCTGCTTCACCCTGGGAGCTGCTTCCCTGTATCCGCCCACTCCTGTTGTGGGCTCTGGGAAAGTTGATGATGAGGACACCCCATGCTCCCAATGCAAACCCAGGACCAGGTGTGGGACCCAAACTAGACCAATCTGAACACTACCCTGGGATGGCCCGAGTGCAAATGAGAAAAACACAGTTTCTCAGCATTGGAGGCAGAACAAAGGAAGCAGAACAGAAGAGAAGCCCATCTGGGAGCATACAGCTCATCTACAGGAAAAGTAGACATTGGAGATTGGAAACAGGTATCCTGGAGCTGCCTGAACTCCCATCCTGGTCACCAAAGGGGAAGTGAACATCAAGTGTGGTGTAGAATGGATTTAGAAGCAAAAGCACCTGTCTTGTGGGTTAGGCTGGTTGCAACTGGGGTCGGTCCTTTGCAACCATGGGCCATTCACACACTCACTCTGGCTGTATGGGTTTTACTTACTTTCTCTCTCTCTCAAAAAAAAAAAAAATAGTAGTTCAAAGGTGTGTCACATGTAGGAAGGACTTGCCAGACAGAAGAAAGAGGTACATGCAGATAATGCATGGGAAGAAGCAGGATCAAAACGCAAGTGGACGTGGAAGCTTTGTCCCACGGCCAGCTGTCACCTACAGAAACATGTTAATGTGGAAAATCGTATAAAACGTCCTCAAAACATTAGAAATGGAACAGCTGTATCATCACGTCTCGGTATTTACCCAAAGGGTAGAAATTAGGATCTCAAAGAGATGTCCAGCCCGTGTTCATTGGGGCGTTACTCACAACACCCAAGACCCAAGAACAACCTGAATGTTCATTGATGGATGGATGGAGGAAGAAAAGGCGGTGTACATGTACAGTGCAATACTACTCAGCCTTAAAAAGGAGGGAAATCATATCATATCAGCCACAGGAGTGAACGTGGAGGATGCTAAGTGAAATAAGCCATTCATGGAAGGACAAATATTGCATGATTCCACTTTCATGTTCTATATAAAATAGTCAAATCCATAGAAAGTAGAATGGTGTTGCCAGGGGCTGAGGGAGGGGGAAAGGGAAGGGAGGAGATGCTGGTCAGCGGGGACAGAGTGTCAGTCATTCGGGATGAAGACGTTCTACATTATCTGCTCTACAACAGCATATCTGCAGCTAACAATATGGTATTGTATATTAAAAATGTGTTAAGAGGGTAGATCTTCTGTTAACTGTCCTTACTACAATTAAATGCCATTTTTTAAAAAAGAAATCAAAGTTTTTATGCCCTAATACACAATTTAATTCAAAATGAGACTGATTAACTTTCCACATCTGCTCTGATGAGTAGATAAGAATACTTGTAATTCACATATTAAGTATTTGAATATAAATTACTGCTCATAAGAAATGCATCGACAGCTTTGTCTCTGGCCTTTGCCAAGCCACCTTGGGGAGACTGTGGCACCCCAGCTTCCATCCAAGATGCTACCAGTCAATGGCCTTAAGCATCCAGTGTTGAGGCTGCTCAGCGTGATCAGTTAACATGGCCAAGGTGTTCTTCTGCACCTGCTTTGTCCTCTGGGCTCTGTCTCCTGGGCCATGGAGGACACCTGCTCTTAGACAAATACCTGTGCATGTGTGTCCCCTCGAAGCCCCAGTGGGAGACCATGAACCTGAGCTAAAATGAACATCAAGAGACTCTGTTCGACCTGCTTTGCCATTTGTCACCTGCAGAATGGGAAGCCTCCATCACAACTGTGAGGATCACCCGTCCCTAAATGAGGCCATGACTCTGAAGAAAAATAGATGGTGTCATGAGGCGTTCAACACAAAAATGCATGGTTTCGGGAACACAAGGAAGTGAGGGAACTGGGTAATGCCTGCTTCCTCCACGGAGATCGTGGGAATGAGTCACAGAAACATGGGTGGCAAGGAAGCAGATTATGCTTAAAATAAAACTCCTATAAGATTGTCTGCAAAGACATGAGCTGTCTTGAGATGCTCCATCAACTGCGGTGTCAAAACACCTTCCTACCCGTGGGGCCATGGCCCCAGACACCGAGGGCTGACTCACCCTTCCGCAGCTGCATTGCACTCTGCAATGGATCTGTCAGATCCCTGAGTCTGTGATATGCAGGATCCACCCAGGATGCTATAAATCACCTCCCACTGCTGTGTGCTGACACCGCTCTGGAGGGCTGCTTCCAGGCTGCCTTGTGAGAACTCACCGGGGTGGGAGCCTCTCTGGGGTGAGAATCTCATATTTTGGCATCTCTGCAAGACTCAGCAAGGACCTGGTGGATTTCCCTTGGGTCACTCCAGGCACAAAGTCAATAAGAACAAGCAGAGACAGGGCCAGCACGGGGATTCAGAATAGCTCTCCAAATGGAGCCCTAACACTTCAATCCCTCCTACAAGGTATTCAGCCACCTGAACCAGCAAAATCTCAGGGAAACTCAAGCTTGACGGTCCATCTTCCACCTCCCAGAGCCAAAGGTATGCCCAAAAAAGCTGCAGAAGTGTATTCAGGATCCATAGGGAACCCAAAGGGGCCGGGTGAACTCTGATGCTGGCCTCGTTGATAACCAAGCGGCGTTGCGCAGATAAAGAAAAGCCTGGGGGATTTCAGACGTGCTCATCGACCTAGTGAGACACTAAGTTCCACTTATTCACAAAGTCTGCAAAATAATTCCTAGGACAAGGATTCCCTAATAAATCATCCATCTCCTGGGGTCATACCTCAATGAGTTGCAAAATAAACACAATAATATTTCAGGGGGAGATTGGTCATCCAGTTTGTCAATTTTTTTCTTAAGAGGTCCTCCCCCCCCCCCCCCCCCCCCACATATACATTCCTCAGTTTAGAAGAAAGATGTATCCAGGTGGGAGAGAGACCAGGGTAGGGACCGGAAGGAAGGCAGGAGTCCTCTTGGGAGCCCCTGTTCTGTCTTCTGTCCATGACCCCAGCAAGATGGTGCTAGCAGAAGATGAGGGAACACAGGGCCGTAGCCATACTGGGGTTGCTGACCCAGTGATGAGGATGAAGATGAATAATGTGTCCTGGAAGGCAATGCTGTGCGGTGAAAATGATCCACCATCATTGCATGGCTGTCTACTCTAGCCTGGTGCCATCATTAAACATCCACTCTGGCCTGCCACCATCAGTAGATGGCTGTCCACTCTAACCTGGTGCCATCACTAGACAGCTGTCTACTCTGGCCTTCCACCATCATTGCACAGCTGTCTACTCTAGCCTGGTGCCATCATTGGACAACTGTCTACTGTTACTTGCCACCACCATTGGATGGCCGAACCAAGCCACATCCTTCAGGGGCAAAGAGAACACATTAAAAAAAACTGCCTATATGCAGGGGGAGAAAAGAATCTTGGGACCCATGAGAAAAAATGGGCAAACACCAAAAGAGGAAACAGAATGCACTATGTAAGTATGTGGTCACAACAGGTACCATGAACATACTAGTACTATGTTAGACACGGATGAGGAGCATCAATTCAAGGGGAGGTTTGCAGACGGCGGGAGAGAACAGAACGAGCTTCTGAGGACCATTCCTTCACCATCTCAATGACACCAAGAGATGAAGGGGTAAGGTAACGAGATGGAGGGTCCTGCTGGTATTCGTGGGAGAGGTTATGGAACCGCGTTCTGGAGAACCCGGGACAGCGCCAGAGCGAAGAAGGATCAGAATCAAGACTCAGAATCAAGACTGCCGAGAATTGAGGCCATGACGTGGAGGGAAGGCTTAACACAGAATATGCAGCAGAAAAAGGTGAAGGGAAAAACCAACAGAGGGGAAGATGGAGACACAGAGACAGGAGACAGACAGTGGGGACTCGACGCGAGGGTAGTCAGTGTCTCTGAAGAAAGGAACTAAGGAAAAAAAAAAAAGAGAGTTTATGCAAATGTCTGTGCAAAGAAAGACTCAGATCTGCAAGGGCAAGAGTGACTGTGAGCCATGTAAACTGTTTCTAGCTGCACATATGGCCAGCGACCACATCCTATAAGGTGGTTGATCTTCAATGCTGGACAATCCTAAGGGCATCCAGGGCACAGAAGGCAAAGACAACAGCAAATAAGGTTGGAATGCCTCTTTGCCAATGTTAAATTTCACTAAAGAGCAGAGAAACATCCACAGAGTCTTGAATGACAAAAGATGTCAACAAGTCCTTGTAGACCCAAGAGACTAAATCCTTCAGGTGGGACAGCGAGATACTGTCCAAGACTCCAGGTGTCGGGGAAATGAAAACCAGTCATTTCTTGTTTCCCATGAAATGTGCTCAGGCGCTCCTGCCAGCATTGAGTTATGCTCAAGTCAAGAACTCACCTTTGGGCAAAGATGGGCAGTGCATCGAATGAGGGATTCATGGAAATCAGGGGTTACTGAATAATCACGGACCAAATCCACCTACCTGGGGGAAGGAAATGCAGGGGAAACACGGTACCTCTTGAGAAAGGAACATCATTGCTAAACCAGCTGTATTTGTTAAAACTATTAGAGGCATAGAGAAGTTCTTGAAAACATGAACAAGTTTGGTGGAATTTTGCAGTTAGGGGCTTCCTATGTCTTCAAAGAGCAGAGCCCATAGTCATGGTTCAAGTCTTGAAAATGATCAATTGAGAAATGTAGCTTATGAGAACTTTGACTGAAGTTATGACAGTTTCAACTAATGGCACGAAAATTACCAGGCAGTTGGGGTGATGACCTATGGGGGCTCCATGGGAACAAAACAGACAGCATACCATAAAAGTCAGGAAAGGAGAAAATCACATAGATACACACACACACACACACACACACACACACACAAAATAGAAAATATTAAATAAGAGGACAGAGCACTCTCAAATGCACATCTTTTGAAAGTGATTGGGAGAAACATGCCTAGTCAAGGGACGATGGACCTTATCCCATAGGCTGAAAGCAACAAGTAAATATGCAGTCTGTCAAAAAATAAATAAATAAATAAAAGAGTGATTTGTGCTGAACATAAAAACGGGATTACAGGTGAATATAAACTAAAAGAAATCCAGGGTCAAAATATTATTTTCAGAGAAAAAAAAATTCAAAGTAAAAAAAATATTGGAAATTTAATGGTGATAAAGGGCAGACTCTGCCGTGAAACTATAATGACCCTGGAATCACCATTCACCCCAGTGGTTGCTTAAGAGTTTATAAACCAGGCAGCTGAGATGGCTGGGTTCTTACTGAGTCAGGTGAGAATGTCCTAGTTGGTTACTGTCCTCAAACCCACTAGCGGATGTAGACAAATCCTTACTGCTCTTTAAATGCCAAAAACTTAATATTCTGCCCCCTCATGGCCAAAGGTAGATATTTGATGGTAGAATGACTAAAGACCAAATGAATTATCTATAGGATATCTATATCTATATAGAATTATCTATCTATCTATCTATCTATCTATCTATCTATCTATCTATCTATCAGGAATACCAGGTCTCATGGCACCTTCAGGGGAAGGATGGAGTTGGAATTTGGGGGCAGGCATGAACGGGTCCCTCACATTTAGTGGGTTACGAAGACAACAACGGCCCTGCCCTGTAGCTTCTGCCACACGCTGGTTGTAGTGCTGGATTTAGTCAGAGAAAATGCAAGACTTACAAAGGGAACATTTCCTATGCACATTTTAATAGAACTTTCTAAAAGACCACTAGTAATTCTGGAGGCGCCTGGGTGGCTCAGTCGCTAAGCGTCTGCCTTCGGCTCAGGTCATGATCCCAGGGTCCTGGGATGGAGCCCCGCATCAGGCTCCCCGCTCAGCGGGAAGCCTGCTTCTCTCTCTCCCACTCCCCCTGCTTGTGTTCCCTCTCTCGCTGTGTCTCTCTCTGTCAAATAAATAAAATCTTTAAAAAAAAAAAAGACCACTAGTAATCCTAACGATGATAATTGTAGCAGCTTATGCTCTATAGGCGTTATAGAATGTACTATCATCTACGATGGTTTTATAGGGATGCTAATCTGGTTTACTGAGATATATTTAAAATCCTTTCAATGTTCATGGAGTTAGAGATTGAATTTTTAATGAGGGACGAAAAATGCCCAACTACCAAGAGGGGTGAACGGGGAACTGAGGTTGAGTCAATTCACCCCAGATGAGGTGCCCTCATGGGTGCACACCAAGCTCTATCCACTTTTCTTGGTGCCTTCCCATCCCATCCCCAAAAAGGACAGAGCATCATTCAAGAATGACAAAGCAGAGCTGGATAAGTACTTTTGATTGACGGGCTGATGAGAGGCACTTTCAACTGAAGAGCCAGAAAATGCAAAGTCTAATAAAAATGCTAGAGATGTTCACCCGGTGGCAAAGCATTTAATTTTCTTTCCTTCAAAAATTAATTACAGAGGGTGGCTGCATTTTTGTGAATTCAGAGACTCTAATTCTTTCTTCAATTAGTGCTTAATTTTCTTCTCTAGGAGAAACGCCGGGTCCATAATACGTGCTTCAGTTAATGATGCTTACTGGGCCCACATATCAAAAAAGATGGGATTATATGAGTGATGACAACGGACCATGCAAGCATATCCTCGACACCATTGGCAAATAGCTTAAAATAAACACTCTGATGTTTTAATGCCATCAGAAGAAATTTCAAAATTCATCCCCAAGTTCAAAGAAGGGAAGGCTGCAGGTGGGCACAAGAATCTACAGAAGGAAGAACATCAAAGACACCGTCGACATGCTGGTGCTACTGTGGCTGGTGTTGTTGTGGTTGTCGGTTTAATTTAAATATCGTTTAACTGAGTTTCCTTGGGATCACTCGTTTTCAAGGCTGTGGTTTGGAGGTGCAGACGGTACAGCTCACCTTGCTCTTATTGACTGTCCACCCACCCATCCATGGAAGGCTCCCAGGGAAGAACCTATCCATCAGCGACACTGGTGTCGTTCTCTGTCTCCCGCAATAGAAGGAGGGCGCGTGACTCATGGCACAGACACATCCAACCACAGGTGCTACGATCTTGGGGTCTCTCCCCTCACATGTTGATATCATGCTGCCATTTTTATCACCGTTCTATGGACAAGAACAAATCTGCACAGAGGGGGAGGGGGGCGAGGAGCCACCCATGTCCTCACTCATCCGATCAGTCTCAGATGTGCAGCTATTTCTAGTAGGGATGGGGTTGTACAGGAAAAGTCCTCACCACATGACTGGCCCAGGGCCCAAGACACAGGGGGGTTGATGTGAAGGGTAAGTGCTCAGTGGGATGGAGAGGTCCCGCCTCTAACTGGAAGTAAATTGTTGTATGTGATACCTGCAGGTGTAAATATTCCCCAGGGCACTGGCCTGGAGCCCCCTTCCCAGAGCCTCAGGGTGCGTTCAGGCCTTGGGTCCAAGCCATTCGGTTTTATGGTAGCCGTGCTCCAAAGAACTGGACTCAGTATCAGTGGTTCTCAAACGGGGGCCATCCTGCAATCCCCCTTCCCCCAAGAAACAGTTGGCAAGTCTGGAGACATTTTTGGTTGTCACAACTGGGGAAGGGAGATTGCCCTAACTGACATCCATTGTGCAGAGGCCAGGATTGATGCTCAATATCCTACAATGCACAGGACAGATCCTGTGACAGATTTATCCAGCCCCAAATGTCACTAAAGCCAAGACTGAGAAATTCTGCTTTAGCATAGATATTCTGACTATATTCTTTTCTTCCTACCTTCCTTCCTTCCTTCCTTCCTTCCTTCCTTCCTTCCTTCCTTCCTTCCCATCCATCATATTTATCCACCCATCCATCTATCCATCTATTCCTACCTCTATTTATCTATCTATCATCTATGTATCAATCATCTATGTATCTATCCATCTATCATCTCTAACCATCCATCCATCCATCCAACTATCCATATGTCTATCTGTATCTATCTGTTAGCTGTCTATCATCTATCTATCATCTATCTACCTACCCATCCATCCATCCATCCATCCATCCATCCATCCATCTCTACATCTACTTATCTTCTATATATGTATGTATATATCATCTCCATCCATCCACCCATCCATTTATCTATCCATATGTCCATTTATATCTACCTATTATCTATCTATCTATCTATCTATCTATCTATCTATCTATCATCTATCTATCTATATCAATCATCTGTGTATATATGTCTGTATGTATGTCATCTATCCATCTATCATCTATCATCTCCATCCATTTGTCCGTCCATCCATCCATATGTCCATCTATATCTGTTAACTATCTATCTATCTATCTATCTATCTATCTATCTATCTATCTATCTTTCTATCTATCTCACGCTGGTTCTGAAGTGGGAGAAATTTTGCCGTCCTAAGGACATGTGTCAATATCTGGACACATTTTTGTTTGTTATGTCTTGGAGGGAGGAAGTGCTCCTGGCATGAAGTGGGTGGAGACCAGAGACACTGCTCAACACCCTACAGTGCACAGGACACCCCACATTAGAGAGTCATCCAGCCCCAAATGTCAGTAGTGCTGATGTTGAGAAACACTGGTTTACAAATATTAACGTATATAAAATATTCATATTTCCAAACATGTTCTGTGGATATTACAGAATCCAGAAGTACATTTTACAAAGCAAACTATGATTTGCCGTATCTTTGGATCCAGCTTTCAGTCAGCAATAGAAATGTGCTAACCTTCCAGAAGATTCCTCTGTAGATAGGCATATGTAATACACTCTGATCATGAAGATAGCTAGTCTATAAAAGGCACTTTGAATGCAACAGAAACTTTTCAGGTCAATGTTCCCCTATGATCCTCAAAGCCACTCTGAGGGTTCACAGATGGGGAAACTGAGGGATGTGACTTGGCCCCAGTTCCTACATGAGTGAGGCTCAGATCGGGCTGTCCTCACCACAACTCAGAGCAGACTCTAGGTGTCAGAAGCCAGGAGGACATGTCCTGGAATGCAAGTGTGAGGGTGTCCAGGACTCTGGGACATCTGTCCCTTCCAGGAAGCAATCAAGGAAGGAGGAAGGGAAGAGAAAAGAAGTGGCAGGAGAGGTTTCAGGAAACCCTCCTCCACCCAACATGTGTTGCCCTCAACACATCCCACTGAAAACCGGTGTTGTTCATGGCCTTCTGGAAGCTTCTCCATTATGAGCGACCAACATCTGCCATGATGCATGGCAACTCTACCTGCAGAGTCCCTCTCACAGTAACCCAGTAACATGCCCTAATCCCTCATCTTTTATGAAGGTGCTATGTCATCCTTCATCCTGGAACATTCTACCATCTCAACTCCTGTCCCTTCATAGTCTGGCCTATTGATACCCATGGTCTGGCCATTTGGGCCCAAGGTTCACCCCTTCTGGAACATTCTACCATCTGAACTGCGTATCCATTCATGGTCTGGCCTACTGGGACCAAGCTCCATTCTTGAGGTTATGATGATAGTAATATCGGTGTGCTACGAAGCAGTTCATAGATACAGTGCCTCCTGTTTGCAGAGGAGTGGGGATGTCTCACTGGGGAGTATGAAGATGCGTGGTTCCAATCCCAGCCCAGCATTCACCACCCATTGTGAGGGCATTGTGAGCTTCTTGGTTTATCAATACCTCCATTCCTCATCTATGACATAAGGGTAATAAAAGTGTCTGCCACAAAGAGTCACTGTGGTGTGAAACTTCTCATGTTGTAAGTCGCCGGTACGTAGAAAGCTCTCAGAACTTAGCTTACTGGTTTTGTGTGCTAAAAATGCACATAATAGAATATACCATTTTTAAGTAAATTCTTTAAAGTGGAAAGAATTGAAATGTCTATCCATGGATGATCGAAGAAACAAATGTGATCCACCTATGCAATGGAATACCATACAGCCGTAAAAAGGAAGGGGGCTCGACACGGGCTACGATGTGGATGAATCTGGAAAATTATGTTAAGTGAGAAAAGCCAGTCACAAAAGGCAACAAGCTGTATAATTGCATTGATATGAAATGTCCAGAACAGGCAAATCCACAGAGGCAGAAAGCAGATTAGTGATCTCCAGGTGCTAGGGAGCGGGTGGGTTAATGGGGCATTGACTGCAAATGGACATGGGGTTCCTTTTTGGGGGACATGAATGTATTCTGAAGTTAGCAAACATATTAAAAATAACTGAACTTTATAATATATAATTATATATCAGTAAAGCTGTTATTACAAAGAAAATAGTCATTTTTAAAAGCACTGTTAAATTTTAACAATGAAGTGACACTGAGCACTGAATCTATATGGAACCCAATACGTTTTCAATGCTCGTCCACATTGTAGCGTATGATGGTGCTTCGTGCCTTTTAGTGGCTGAGTAGAATACCATCATGTGTGGATGGCCCACATTCTGCTCACCCATTGCTCCGCTGATGGGCGCTTGGGCTTCTGTGCTTTGGCTGTTGTGCATCATCCTGCCACAAAAGTGTGTGTGCATGGCTTTGTTTGGACACCTGTTTTCAGCTGTCCTGTGCAAATGCCAAGGACAGGAATTGCTTCTCATATGGTGACTCACATGTCCAACATTTTTGTTAAACTCCTACCTTGATACATTCATGCACCTGTTTAACTTGTAGATGAACCAGTAGCTTTGACAAGCTCATTTAGTTTGGAGCGTGGGGACCCCTGGCATCCCTCTTCCCCCCACCCACCACATGCACCCCAAACCACACGGACACAGGATTTTTACTCTGTTTTTACCACAATACTCTTTGACTTAAATACATCCTGCTTGAGGCTCAGCAGCAACCTGTCCAGAACGCCATGGGGTAAACCCTCCTTGTCACTTTCCCCCTTAATCTCTGTCCTTACATTAAACCCCAGGAGTTATGAAGACACCCAGAATCACCACGGTCTACAGGGAAGTTTGCCTTTTTTATTTTTCCAAATGGCTTGGGATTTTTCTGCAAGATGGTGTCAACCCCAATGGTGTTCTTACATTTCTGTTGCAAGGGTGCTCTAGAAAAAGAGGGGATGCTCCCTAAATCCTTATTACAGCATCAATTTTTGGAAGCGATAACAGTCAGGGGACAAATGTCCAGTGTCATCAGGGTGACTTACATAAATATTAGTAGGAAACACACCACATTTTCTATCTTCCTCCTGATTCCTCAGTTCTTCTTGGTGAGGACACAGAGAATCCAAGTCAATATAATCCCACATGTGTGTGGCAGGACACAGCACACATAGAGGCTTGCTTTAACTCTCTGTTCCAAGGTCACAGACAGCACCCCAAACTCAGACTAACCAACCTTATAAATGCATAACCCTGTTAAAAGAGTTGTAACCAGGGCTGGAGGCATGGGTTCTCCGGGGGAAGTACCTGGGTAAGGACATTGGGTAAGGACCTGGGTAAGGATTACGACATTGCCGTAATCATCTTCCCCTATCACCAAGAATAGCAGCCATGGTGAAGGCAGGCTCCTCTCTTTCCATGAAGAGAAAAGGTCATGCGAAGAGTCTGCGTGGTTCTCAAGTTCCAAGATCATATGACACCTGGCTGAGATGTGAGTTTCTTTCTTTCTCTCTTTCTCTTTCTTTCTTTCTTTCTTTCTTTCTTTCTCTCTCTCTCTCTCTTTCCTTTCTTTCTTTCCTTCCTTCCTTCCTTCCTTTCTTTCTTTCTTTCTTCTCCTCCTCCTCCTCCTCCTCCTTCCCCTCCTCCCCCCCCTCCCCCCCCCCTCCTCCTTCTTCTTTAAGTTAGCAATTCAGGTGCAAAGTTGAGTTGATGCAGTCCTCAGTACATAGAACTTTATCAATACTGGTTTCTGCAAAAATCCTGTTGTAGAGACACCAGAATATTTTTGCCTCTGCAAAATGTCTACCCTTACAATCCATGCTACCCATATAATTTTGTGTAAAGGGGACTTCGGGGGGCACCTCAAACTGCAAAGTCTCATGGTCATCATCCCATGACTGAGGCTCCTGCTCATCCTTAATCTTGTGTCCTCGGTATTAAAAAAAAAAAACAAAAAACAAAAAACAGAGAGAGCAACATCTTCTGAGGGGCAGACAGCTTCAAGTCACTCCCTTTCTTGGTTTGTTCACATCTGGTGGGGATGTACAGGCTGTATCTGTTGGCCACCTAAGTGACCTTTTCACAGGCAACATCCTTGCAAGGGTTGACTGAGTGCCATGACTAATTCTGATTCTAGAAATTTCACAACTGTCAGCATCCTAAAATATGCCCCGGGGCACCCCGGCAGCTCTGCAGTGAACAGTGCGTGATGATAACAGAAAACCACAGTCAGCTTGGACCAAGCCCTTCTCATTGGGAAGCACCACCATCCTCCAGCCACTGAACCTGGGGTGCCTCCGAATTTCAGGACATTGTACAGTTTGTGGAGACTCTGCACTGGTTTCGTGCATGCATTTTGAGTCCAAGAGCAGAGCCTAACTTCTGGAAAAATGCCTGACGCTTGATGTGCATTCTGGATCCAGGTCCTCATCGGGGACATTAGTTCTGAGTGACACCTGTCAGTTCTCATTCTGAAATACTCAAGTCAATGATTTCTCTTACTCTGTGCAACTGCAGACCATGACTTTGCAAAAGCTCCAGCACACGCTGACTCAGTGGATTGGTGGCTGAGCGCAGACGGAGGGATGGCTGGGGAGCCAGGAACCAGAAAGGCCCTCCGGAGTCCCCAGTTGCCTGGGGAAATTTCAAAGAATGTGATGGGTCTCTGGTAGGTGCCTTAAGCCTGCACGTTAAATCCCTTTTACTCTGAGACTCAGTCCAGATTATCATGTGTTATTTAGGATACATGTACTTAGGGTTTTTTTGTTTGTTTGTTTGTTTTGGGTTTTTCCGGTAAGAATTAGACAGCCAACCAAAATTTGAGAAGCTGCAGATTAGGCGCACCTAAGGTGTTGAGTGGAACAAAATGCACATGGGAGGGGACATAAGAATGGCGACTATGCTTCCCAGTTGGAAGAACAGACACTAGTGGAACCTGCAGGCATATGGCCCAATAGCAATGCATTCACCCTGGATGTGGTCGTGAGTCAGTATCCACCAGCTCGATAACGTACCCTCGCAATGGTGTAGGGGGGGACGGACAGGCAGTCACAGACCAGCAAGACGAGAAACAACCTAGGAGCTACTCAGTGTAAGCAAATGCCCCAACTGGGCATACTGTCGATGGCCGAGGCATCGGGGGAGATGAAGGGCCAGTGAGGTCTTTCCACCATGTAGCCCAAAGCCCAGCCATAAGACGACAGTGCAGACCAAACTCCCAGGCCATCACGGGGACACACACCACACAGCTCAGGAAAGTAAGATAAAAGCCCATTGGTGCTACAGGTGAAGGTCCCTGGAGCAAAGTCCCTAACACCAAATGTAATCCTTGGAAGCACCCAGCTTCTGGTGGTGGAAAAAAATTAAACAATGACAAGATCAGACTCAAGAAGGAAGTACTGCATCACTAAAGCCAACGTTGGGCGCTTGTCCGTGGTACAACAAAGCTAACGCCAAAGGGGAAGGCCAACGCTCATGGAACCCAAGGACAAGGCAATAGCCAGAGCCAGGCGCCAGGATCGTGATCTCCCAGGGAGCGTGTCTTCCTGGTGCCCGTAAGCAGACGGGGGTGCCGGTGTGTGTCCGCCATGATGACCATCGGTCATGTTGAACCAAAACGTTCTGCTCATTAGATCAGCAGTTTCTCCAAGCGGGGCCTCACGGCCTCAGGTGGAAGGTGGTGGGAGGTCCACGTGGTCTGGACTACTTTCACTGTGATACTGTAAGCCCCCTCCGTATTGTTCAAGGGTCAACTGGACACATGTGTAATGTCCTCCTATGTGAGAAAATGGAAAGTATACAGAAAGCGCATCGACCATGCAGGGACACACGGTGGCTGGCAGGCTGTTTCAGTTGGAAGCTAAGCTGGCTGCTTTTCCTCAGGAAACCCCAGTTTTGCTTGGAAGAGCAACTGATAGACAAACTATGGTGATTGCGAGTTGGATATCTGGCAGACATTTTCTTGAAAACAAACACAGTGAGCTTGTCACTTCAAGGACAACAAATGACAGTATTTACCATCAGTAACAACATCTGAGCTTTCAAGAGAAATTCAGAATTCTGGAAAACTTTGTATGTGGTACCAGGAGCGCAACAGTTTCCCAATACCTAGACTTCTCTGATAAGATCAGGGGTTATACTAACAAACGCATTTTTTTTGATGTCATATAATGAAATGTGTCACCGTTTAAAAGCCCCTCCATAAGTCACTGGACCAATATTTTCCAAAAGACCGACGGGCAGATGATCCATTCCAAATGATAAATAGACCGACTGATTTTAACTGAGCAGAATAAGAAAATTTCATTGATGATGATTCCGGATTCGATGTTGCAGCTTGGCCATCATAAAACAACGAGGGGGTGCATCTGAGGATGGCATCAAAGATAACCCACAATTATCTGAAGAAGCTATCAAAACAACACTCCTTCATTTTGCAGCTACATGTCTGTGTGAGGTTGGATCTTCCTCAACAGAAACATACTGCAACACACGGAATGCAGACATCCATAGGAGAATCTGGCGGTCTTCTGTTAAGCCGCACGTTTGCAGAAATAAGACCTTTGCAAAAAACTGTAAAGAATGCTGGTTCTCTTCCGTGGGAAAAGCCACACCCAAGGAGTCAAATGTGGAATAACTAAAAGCGTTTGCATATGGCGGCCCATGAAGCAACCTCCGTGTTGTGTCATGCTAACGGTGAGCATTTGAGGGGCATCAACAGTGCACCAGGCTGTCCGCTATGTGTGCTAGGTACATTGTGCGCATCACGTCCAAACCGCAGAGGCTCCCTCCAAAAGACAAGACAGGCAAGGGGGGCTATTGTGCAGGTGTGGGGGCTTGGCAGAGAGATGTAGGGTCCGGGCTATGACAGGTCTGCCTGGGATGGGAGCACCGAGCCCACGTCCCCTACACAGGTATATCCCTCCCGCAGGAGCTCGGGTGTAGAGAGACAGGGATCAGGCAAGGACAGGTCTGCCTGTGATGGCGGCACCGAGCCCACATCCCCTTCATAGGTGTATCCCTCCTGTGCGAACTCGGGTGCAGAGATACAGGGTCCAGGGTGGGACAGGTGTGCCTGGGATGGAGGCACCCAGCCCATGTCCCCTGCACAGATCCCTCCAGTTGGAGCTTGGATATAGAGATCTAGGGTCCAGGAGCTCGGGTGTGGAGATACAGCGATCAGGCAAGGACAGCTCTGCCTGGGATGGAGGTACCAAGCCCACGTCCCCTCCACAGGTGCATCCCACCTGCATAGCCTCAGCACACAGGTCATGGGGAGGGGACCCCAGGTCTGTCATGTCAGCTGGGAGCTCCAGAAGAGCAGAGACTCCAGAGCTGGCTGCTCTCTTGTACACAATGGAAGTATGTAGAGACTACTCAGTGACATCTGTGGGACCAGTCCTGAAAATGTCATCCCCTCTGCCACCTGAGGGGTTCTTAGAACTTCCTCCTTCACTATGGGAAATTACTCCTGAACAAAAGATGGGGTGACCCACCCCTGTGATCACAAACCATGGCAGGTGCCCCGGCTGCATATCACAGAAACCTCACTGTCTGCTAAAGACTCCAGATTCCATGTGGCAACTCGCCTTTACGAAACCACCCCTTGTTGGGTTTGGAGCAGCATCAGAGATCCCCCACAATGATCTGAAAATATTCGTCCCTTTCCAACCATGTATGTGGCTGAGGCTGGCCTTGTTTCAACAGGAAGAACCCATGGCAAGAGACGGATAGCAGAAGCCAAACGTCTCCTCGGCGGCCACACATGGAACACATGACCTCTCTCTTCTGGGCGTAGACTGGGACATTCAGAATGTCTTACGTTTTTGCAGACGTGGGGCTTAAGATAAGACAGCTGGATTCTCCTATCGACGTCTGCATTCCGCCTGTTGCAATATATTGTTTGTGTTGAGGGAGATCCAACCTCACACGGATACGTAGCTGGAACGCGAAGAAGTATCTCCATAGCTTCTTCAGATAATCATGGAGCATCTTTGAGACCACCCCCAGACCCACAGAGTGGTTTTTGTAGGATGGTCAAGCTGCAGTGTAGAATCTGGAATCATCGTCAATACAATTTTTTTACTCTGTTAAATTAAAACCTATAGGTCTATTTCACCTTTGGAATGGATTGCTTGCCCAGTTACACAAAAGAGAAACAGAAGGGGTAGCAGATCATTCATGAGACTACACACTGTCCGGGACCTTTTTGTTTTGTTTCGAATGCCACCTTTCTGTGATTTATCTTTCTTTCCTATATGTTCAAAGGGTTTGTCTTGAGAGCTTGTCCTCATATCCAATCCAAAATACTCAACCTCCTGTCTTCTATCCTTGAGAGAACCCTCAGGGCCACCAAGCGATGATGATGGATGGACCCAGGAGATCCCCCAAATTGGGATGAGATGGAGAAATCCCAACATGAATGATCCTTAACCCAGTGGGGGTTCAGGGAATCATGAGGAGTTGACTACTGCATGTGGTCAGGCTTGGGTGGAAAGCAGGTGGACTAAAGAGCAGACAGTATGCAAAAAAACCAAAACAAAACAAAAAAACCAGTGCGGATAATTCTCTCCAGTTGTATTTCAATAACCCTTAAGGAGATTACAGTTATTATCCAACATATGACCGGGATGCAGGATTTAATCAAGAGATCACGGGGCTCTGTGCCTACGTCCTGGATTAATTTTATTCACAATATCCTCCATCCTGTGCATGACTCTGCAAAGTGAAGGTGGGTGCAGAGTCACACCTGGTCCCCAGAGACCTGACTCGGAGGTTTGCTGGAGATGCCCATGACCAATTTCTGGTCTGAAAATGGCCATTTTGCAAACACCCAGACACCGCCCAGCCCTCAGATCAAGGCGCCCCATCAGCAAACGGCACAGCTCACCCCAGCGAGCACCAGAAATTGCTAACACCACAATCCAGCCTTTCCCAGAAGAGCATTCTTCAGCAGAGAGCCACAGCGATGCTATTCCCTTAGATAATTAATTTTAAATTGAAGCATCATTTGAGAAGTGCAAATAAAACAGGAGAAATGCATCTTTCCCTTCTATCCTGTCAATGCACAGATGAAGCATTGCTAAACGGTGCAGAACGATACTGACCTAAGCTATGGAAACATTTTTCCATGGAATAACTAAATAATTGGGGAGCGATATACAAGAGGAAAATGGCATCTGAAACATCTTATTTCACACACAACTCACACACAATCTAAAACTCCTGCAGCAAAATGTGCAGATTAGGTAAAACGACACAGCAGGTACACACGTGCTCATTATATCATTCCTCTACACCTTTCATATGCATGAAATAAT